CTAGATTTCAGTATCTAGATATCCAGTATCTAAGTAACCTCAGCATGAATGCTAGTAAAATCCAAGTCAGCCTGTAAGGAGAACAAAGTGAACAGGTTAGAGGTGAAAATGTCATATAGGGAAGCCTTATTTTTGATATAAAAGAGCAAAGAAAAACACGCTTCAAACTGTTTTTCTTGAAAGAGAAGCAAGCTTAGACTGTCTAAAAATTGTTGCTGGTTGGATTTTAATACATATTGTACAGCAGGAGTAAGAATCAGACTCTTGGACATCATCCTCATAATCTCCGACTAGGGATGGGCATGAATTTAAAAATGAATCACCAAATTTGTTCAAAAAATTGCTAATTCATCGATTCATACATATTTGTACAAATAAATGCCTGTGAATAATAAGAATCCATGAGTTTTGGGGGGAATTTTTCTTTGTCAATTTGTTTGGCTATAAAACGCGCGCCTCCCCCGGCATCTAGACACCAAAATTTCAGGGAAGCTTTCCCTGAATCTCTACAATCCCTACAAGTTTAGTAAAGATTTGGTTTCAAATGTCCACAAAGAGGTTCCAGACATCTGTTCCCCCCAGAAAAATGCTATTTAGCAGCTGGCTTGGGGAAACCCAATTTTCACCCAACTTGGAGGGATTCCGGGGGAGAGGAAAGTCAGTAGAAGCATCTCTGTAATTTTGGTGTCTCTAGGTGCCTGGGAAGTCCTTTCCTGGGAGGGCACTCCTTGTGAGTGTATAATTTAGACCTCCAAAACCCAAACTTCACCAAATTTGCAGGGCTTGTAGAGATAGGACCCAATTTTCACCAAACTTGGAGGGATTCCAGGGGAGAGGAAAGTCAGTAGAAGCATCTCTGTAATTTTGGTGTCTCTAGGTGCCTGGGAAGTCCTTTCCTGGGAGGGCACTCCTTGTGAGTGTATAATTTAGACCTCCAAAACCCAAACTTCACCAAATTTGCAGGGCTTGTAGAGACAGGAGAAGCTTCCCTGAAAATATGGTCTCTCTAGTTGTTTGGAGGCCATTTTATAGGGTTTTAAAGTAAAATATTTTTTTTTCTGATTTGTGCCCATTTATATCCCTGACCATCGGCCATATTGGCTGAGTCTTATGGGACTTCTGATCTCACCCTTGGTGCTCTTTTAGGAGAACAGTTCTGTTCCAGTGTTCTGAATATGATCCTGGTAAATTACAATTAACCTTTTGATCACTAAGGTTATCAGAATATTAAAGCACAAAGAACAGTGTCACTGCTCTGAATCGACTAGCAAATCCTTCCTTTACCACTTAGCAATAAGAAGCAGTGCTTTCAAGTTCAAGGAGATGGATTCAAGATTTGAGATGTAAGCCATGGAAGAAAAGTGAGTGGGAGATAGAAACTGATATGAAGAAACAAGGCATCAAAAAAATGCTCAAAGTGTGACAAAAAAATAAAATAAAAAATTAAAGGTATCAATATGGCCAGGAGATGGTGGAGGGACAGAAACTATTAACGGTCACAGGAATTTTCACCTTGAAATCTGACAACTGATGGTAGCAAAAATGAAAGCTGATTTTGTAGCAAGTACTAGTAAATACTACCGGACTCAAAGTGTTGTTTTAGACATGTCCAAGGCACCCAACAACCTGATGGTTGTTGTAGGTTTTTCGGGTTCTTTGGCCGTGTTCTGAAGGTTGTTCTTCCTGACATTTCGCCAGTCTCTGTGGCCGGCATCTTCAGAGGACTGGCTTTACTCTGTGGTTTGTTGTTATTGCTGTTTTTACTGTTGTTTACTGCTAAAGTCTGGTCTTGTTGTGGAAGCAGTTTAAAAATTCAGCTGGAATTGATTTAAGCATTTAGCTGCCAATTTTCTATCCTCTTATTTAGAACTAAGTCTCACTGAATTCAGTAGGACTTTTTCTCGGTAGACACGTAGGATTGTAGTAGTAGCAGTTTGTACTTCTTTATGTTCATGAAAGGCAGATACTGTACTGTAAAAACTCAGTTAAAGGTACTGTGGAAATTATTACTGTATTTTTCTTTCTGCCCATTCTTTTCACTAGTACGTCTTTACGAATAAGAGACAATTAGCTGAAACAATTGTCCCTTCTTTTTAGAGTAAGGAGAAGTCAGCCCATTTGGACTGTTCCCCATATTATTTCAAAAGGTTATCCATTAAATGCATTAGTGTAAATTCAGCTGACGAAGAAATCTTAAACTGGATTTTCTTGCAAACGGCAGGGATTTCTACAAACTGTCAGATTTGTGAAGTATTGTCCTAGGGGGTTACAAGATCAGTATGAGAGCCATGAAACATATGGTCCTCCAGACGTTGTTAAACTTCATCTCTCATCAGTCTTAGGTAGCATAACTAATAGTGTAAGGGGGTGAGGTTTGAGGAGTTATACAACACCTGGAGGGCCATACATTTTGGATTCTCGTAACATCCTAAAACGAGGGAGCGAGTGGAGTAGTTGCATTTTCATGGGACTAGTGGACTTCTGTTGAACTGCAATCTCTAGCCCAACAGGAAAGTGTTCCACACCTAGACACGGGGCCCTGGGGATCAAAGAAGTACAATATATACCCAGGCTCTTCAGCACACCTCTTTATACTCCAGTAAACACATTACTGAACCTCACAGCAATTCACATACACATTGGTAGAAGGTACACAGTCCTGGCAAGGATTTGTGCATCTACGACTGCTATGTACAAGCTTTGTAAACCAGCACCTCAAACCATACATGCAGCTCTCCTTTCTGAATGCAAGCTTAAGCATGTGTGCAGATTTCACATCAGCAAGACATTTGAATGTGAAGCAGAGGGCATGCACTTGTGTTTCCCTCAGGGGACAGAGGTGACTGTGCATGACAACACTCTTCTTACCTCGATTTGTTCAGCAATGGTACTGTACTGTTTCTTATTGGGTTATATAGTATTGTGTGCCACTTGTACGCTGGTACAGTAAATCACAGGAATGAGTCATCAAGAGATGCATGGAAGTACCGCCTGAAATCCAGTACCAAGTCACAACTAGAACAGGCATACAGAATCAGTGGGAATTTGGTGAGTCAGCACCTATGTTAGTTCCATTGATTCAATGGGCTTATTCTAGTTGTGATTTATTACTGGATTTCAGACATTATGTTAATGATTCTCTGTATTAGTGATTGTTTGGCGAGTCATGTCCAATTAATAATGATGTAATAAGACACCTAAAGGTTTTGCTGTAGCGTTTGGCAGAAAGCTTTATAAAAATACAGTATAAAATGCTGCTGTACAATCTTCATTTTATTTCTAGGACATTCATGTAGGACTCCAGGGAAAGTCTCTTGACACGGATTAGCGATTTATCCAAGCAATTTCAACTTGTAATATTAGTCAGACCAATTCTCATTTTAGTCTACATCTTCCAGCTAAACTTTGGAGAACTAACATGCAACTGTAGAACAATCCTTGGGACATAAATAATTTCTCAATTTCCTTAAAAAAATCCATGTTCTACATAGCAAGGGAAGGAAATTGACTTTCGCTGACTTCCACTTGCAATATGCATTTAACACTTATTTCTTTTTTCTATCATTATTTGGGGACTGGGACCACAGCAGTGTTCAGATGTAGCTAATATACATGTAGGCTATGCAGCATTAGGTATGGAATGCCATTAATAGAAACCATTGGTAGCTAATGGCTAGAACATGTGCATTTTTAAAGTAAATGTAGCAAACCATTTTACGATTACATTTATCTTTGAATTTTGTATATGGTATCTGGGCACCACCTCAAACGTGTTTTGTATGAGTTAAAAGAGAAATATAATAAATTAAGCAAATACAAGTTACATTTGCATGTGCTTATAATTCCAAATTTTCCTAACAAAGTCTGCACATACAGTGAACCATGAAATGAAACCCATCTCAGTAGATTCTAATATTCTGCAACCCCTACCAAGTAGCAGGAATAGGTTTATTACACTACTAGTTACAGTCCTACACATATTTGATCATTAGCCATTGTTTTGCCAAGCCAAACATTGTACAGGCCTGATCCTTATGTCTACTGATTGTCAAAATATTTCACCACATAGCTCTTTGCATTTATTATTTTTATGCTGCATTCCCATCATTTTTTTTTATTTTCTAATTTTCAAGCATCTTCAAAAAACCTTTTTTTTCTGAAATCATTAAATTGATTAAGTCACAGAATAGAACACAACACTCTAGGAGTATGTGTGATGTTAATAATATGAAGAGGATAGTGCATATTAATATAAGGTTTTAAAATTATACCTTATTGTTCAAGACCATGAATACAACTGATGCACAACCCCTTCATCTGCTGGTTTCTCTTTTCTTCACAACATTAAATCATGCAGTATCAGTACAGCACTATTTACTGAGGCATTATTTGCTCTCCATCAATTCATTTTCTGGGTAAACTGTATCCAGCTTACAACAATCCCCCCTCCCCACTCCTGTAAGTGTAATTTGGAAGCCTGGGGAAAATGTTCCCACTCACATAGATATTCAAGCTCAGGTTATCAATCAATTTTGCATCTACCAGCAGATATTAATTTTTGCAGAATTAAGTAGCTTCCTAATTCAGATTTAATTAAACCAAGTGTTTTAGGCATTACAATACCAAATGTTTTAATCGATCCATACCTGCCTACAATACTTTTGGGTGAACAAGCTTCCTTTCACTCCATCCAAATGCTGGTGTTTCTCACCAACACCTCTGAACTCCTAGAACTGTTCCAAAGGCTCTAAACAAGTTTTTTTTTCAATTTGACAAAACTGTTCAGCTAAAACAGATATGTAAAGTGAGAATACTCAGTCTGATCTAGCATGATTTAAGAATATAGTATCAAATTATGTATACAAATGATGTAAGGCATTCTTATCTGTAAGACACAGATATGACAAAGGCATTTTAGAGGTTCAGTGCCTTTGAGATTAAGTGCCAACTACATTCCTACATATAATTGGCAAAGAATAAACTCCTACGAATATGGGGAGATGAGGGTTACCTCTGAGTGAAGCTTCATAGGATTGGACTTCTGGGAGGACACAGAGATTTTGCAAATATAATAATGGAAGGATATGTGTATTTAATAGAATTGAATGCACTCAAAAATTTGTTACTCAGTACAAAAATACTATTTATGTAAAAACAATAAGTTAGTTTATTTTACAGTACTTTACACTATTATGTAGCAGAACTTTTCATGCTGGAATTTTCTAGCATATACATTATATTCGCACAACTTCATAATTTTGCACAAAGCATCTCCAACAGCATGTCATCCATATTTACTGTTCCAATGATGGGCCTAAAGAAGAGTTCCGCAACAACAGTGGCATTAATGGACCTAAGCATGGACAGAGCCACATTCAGCTTGGCAAATCTGGCCTGGTCCCCTCTGTGAATCAGTCTGACATGTTCATTTAGGGCTTGCTGTGCTTCCTGCTGCAATCCCTGGATGTACTGTACACAGTGCAGCCCTGGCAGATCTAGAAGAGTGAGAAAACAAAGGGGGGGGAATAAAAATTAATTTATATCTTTATACTATTCTTTTATCTGCAATATACACAATTGAAGATCGCTTCCTACATTCTACAAACTTGCTTATGAGTTATGAACAATAACATACAGTGAAAAAAATACTGTGAACATTCAGTATTCAACTAAGTTCTTCATTCCCATATTTCAGTATAAACATGTAGCTTAGCTTGAAATACATTTCAAAATGTATTGTGCCTTTAAAATTAGTGGCATATTTTGCATTTAATTCAGGGACAGTAGGCTACAAAATTATTTTGAACACCAAACTTGAACGGAACTACCAAGTTTTGTAAAATCTTCTAACTACTCAACTATTGTAAAACTTTATTAAACTAGTTATATTAAAACATTTAAACTTATGACCTAATAAGGGTGTTTTAAGAACTGAAAATGTCCCATTGCAATTGGTAGCATTAAATTGGAGATTCTGCGAATGATCTGTTCACAGCCAATCTTATTCATGTTGAAATGTGCATTACTGAGAATTGTATTTGTATTGCTCCATACTGCAACCCCCAAAGGCTCCAAATTAACACAAGAGCACTACTATAATAAACCTGTGCCAAGCAACCAGTCCAATATTTAATCTTGATCAGTTTGACAATTCTGAATAGCTGTGTCAAATGCATTTGAAAAACACATTCTGTGATTGCTTAATATGGATTCTTCTATTTAAAAATTATTCATGAAGAAAAATAAACAGCATTGGTACTTTTCTCTGGCTTAATGACTGCACATTTTTTAAAATGTTACAAAGTAAAGTAGCAAAGGAGGATGTCTTTAAAATTCTGACCCAAAATGTGAATTTTTTTATACTTAATACACAATAAAATACAGTATAGTAGTCCCTACTCTTCACCACCACATTCAATAATAATCATAAACTTTTAACCATAGAAGAAAAAGGAACTTTTTTCATATCACCCTTCTTCATGCTAAACTATTTTTAAAGCCTCAAAGTAAAATAGGGAGTTGACATCTCTGAGAATCTGATCACTTTGAATGAAATCCTGTAGATCGGATAAAATGATAGTATTCTTAAGTTTATAGCCATGTCTAGACCGGTTTATCCATTAAAAAAACTTTCCAGGAGGTATTGTGACCTCATTTTGACAATCTTTTGCTTAATGTAAACAACAGAGGTTATTCTGCCTAAACAACAGAATTGCAAAATAAATAAAATTAATTCTAGTTTTCCAGAAACTAAGCTGAATATGTTACTTTTGTTACTGTTTAGGAAAAATGCTTACAAGATGCTTACATGCTTTTGCAAGGACACATTTTCCTGAGGAAAGCAGATACAACATTTGAGCCATTCTTTATTCTTTGCTTGTTGACTCTGGTGTACTGTAAAACACTTCTGCACCAAATATTCCAGTGCCAGAGCACTTCCCTTATGCTACGTTTAAAAAAAACACACAGCCCACCAAATTTCATATTCTGTCCTTAATTCACCTACTCTTTCTTCTCCCCCATCTGAAACTCCAAGGAGGATGGCTGTCAGACCTAGTAGCTATCTTACCTTTAATTATAATAATAATAATAATTGCAAACCACCAAGTCAATTCTGATTTATGGCAATCTCTTTTCAGGGTTTTCCACATAGAGAATACTCAGAAGTGGTTTACCATTCTCTTCTTCTGGAGTCCTCCGGGAACTGTGCATCTTGCCTGTGGCCACACAGGGTGGCTCTTCTCCCAGGGGAATCGAACTCCCAACCTCTGGCTCCGCAGCCAGAAACCTAAACCACTCATTTACAAGGACAAAACTTCGGAGCCAACAATCGTGGAGTCCAAGCCCCTACTCCAACATCAACCACACCCTTTTTTAAGTACTGGCATCATTTTTCTAACAAAGCTTTCCTACTGCGAACAACTTACCTGCCATGCATTGAAAAGAAAAGAAATCAACCATTGATGTCTTTCTCAAAGGAGACTGGCTAGAAAAACAAAAGGGCCAGATTAATCCCATCCCCACCTAGTGCAGACCCCGCTTCCTTACTCGGAGCTGAGAACTGCAGGCTGGGACTTATCCCGACTCGCCTCCCTGCTTACCCGGATTGAAGAGCACCGTGCCCTTGAGATAAGCGTACTCCTTGGTGCTGATGTCCAAGCTCCAGCACTTGGCCAAGAAGCCTTTGATGGCTTGGATCTCCCCCGCAGACGGTAGCCTGGGGCTGCTGTCGCTGCCGCCGCCGCCACAGGTCGGCTCCAGCTGCTCTTGCCGCTTGTGCAGCAGCAGGAGTTGCTGCTGTTGTTGCTGCTGCAGGTGCTGCTGCTGCTCCTCCTCCTCCTCCTCTTCCTCCTCCTCGCCCCGCTTGTTGGTCAGTATCCTGTGCAGCATGCTGGGCTCCGTGGTCTCCACCGTCTCGAGGTGCACGCGATCCTGAGCCAGCCCCAGCACGAGGAGCGGCGCCCAGCAGCTGCGCACCAGCACCAGCTGCTCGTCCAGAGGCAGCTCCTGAAAGCAGGGCACGTTCTTGACGAAGCGCAACGTCTTCACCAGCACGGCCGAAGCCGCCTTGCACGCCGCCTGAGGGCTCTTGAGAGCCACTCGCCTTTGCGCCCCGCACGAGCAGCCGAGCCCCACCGCGTGTCCGAGCTGCCGAGGGGGTGGCAGTGGCGGCGGCGGCGGCACCGGGTGTTGTCCGCTTTCATGCTCCTCGTGACGGTGCTGCTGCTGCTGCTGCTGCTGTTCCTCGCTTTTCAGGATGTTGTAGAGGATACTGCTCTGCCTTCGGCTGTCCGTGCAGCAGCGGCATCTGTTCACGCACGCCATGGCTCCACACGGAGAGCCGGCGGCCGGTGCTAAAGGAGAAAGAGCGGGAAACCCTCGTCCTTTCCGCCCCGCAGCCAAGCTCAATACTCCTTCCGTCGCCCTCTGCTTGGCCCTTAACTTTATTTATAGCGCGCTCTTGAGCGCTGGAGTTCAAAGGCACAGACTCTCATTACTGGCTGAAGGGAAAGGACAGGGCGGGAAAAAAAAGCCTCCAGAACTCCACCTTCTCTCCTCCCCTCTTCACTGGGGAGAGAGGAAAAAAAACGCGAAAGAAATTGAGGCGAGAGAGAAAGCACTCGCCTGCCTATGAGGGCTTTTACTTTGTTCTCTGCTCACAATGTGCCTGCCCCTTGTCACCTCAGGGGCAAACTATTTGTTTACAATGTTGTCTCCACGCCCCTCACAATTTTTTTTCTTTTCAAAAAAAAATTTCTCTTTTCGGCTTTAGTTAAACCATCTTCCACGTTAGAACAAAATGATGTCATTATTTCTGTTTTGCTGTTCCCACCTTTACAGTACAGTATTTCGATTAGGGCTTGGAAGGAGTGGAATGCTTCACTCTGAAAGCCAAATACTGTACTGTAAAGGTAGACCAAAGTTTAGGGAATTAAATTTCCTCTGGCTGGAATCTCTCAGTAATTTAATAAAGTACCTTGGGTTTTCTGGGAATTCATCAGCAGAACACTTTTTCATTAAAATTTCAGCTTGCAGGAGAAAGTTTTAATGCACAGCTTGTGGAGAAGGAAGTCTTACAACTAAATCATATAGCTTATTTTTTTTTCAGTGAAACCCTTTTGCTTTGTATGGGTATATGCTGTGTAATCCAGCTTTTTCTACCTTTTTTGGAATACATTATTGGGTATTTTTACTGCTTCCATGCTGGGCAAATAGGAAAATATTTTACACTAAAATCCATTTCAAAATCAGGGGAAGGAATTTAGTGGTGGTACCAAAAATTACCTAGCCATGAGCTGGAAACCATGACAGAATCTTAATTTCTGACTCTGTAAGAGTGGAGTGTTCTCAGAACTGGGGAGGTGCCTCACACTCACTCTAAAATTTAGACTGAGACATGCCCTGATGCTCAGACCATAAGCCATCTGTGCTATGTCCTTAGCAGTGTTAATGTTGGTATAGTACAGTGATGATGACGATGATGACACTCAAAGACTCTTTTCCTGGGAGGCACAACAGAGTACAGTATAAAACTTCCAGTCTCTGACTGCAGCCAGAGGCACAGCCTTGCTCAGAGGCAAGAGGCACAGCCTTGCTCAGAGGTCAGCCTTGCTCTTTACCTAATAAAATCTGCAAATGGTTTATTTAGTTATTTTAAAGTGGATGAAGAGTTACTAAAAAGGTGGTGGGAGATGTAATTCCTGCAAAGCAGCAGGCCATGTAAACCACACAGCGTTTGGACTGAATCAAGTTTAATGCTGTTAAAAGCAAGATGAACAATATGACTGAAAAATCAGGTACACTTGTTTAACGACTTTATCCTTAAAGCCAAAAACAGAACAAAAGAAGAGGTTAAAAAATAACCTTTCCAGTCTTCCATCTAATTCTTCTGTACTTTTTAGACCTTTGTTGTTCTGGAAACAGTTATTTTCTTAAACCATACCTTTGGAATTGGTTTTAACATACAAGCTTCTGCGCATCATCAAGTTTTCGTATCCAAAAAGGAGCACCCTTAATTCCGATGTAGATCAATGTACAAAATGCCTGTGTACACAGTCTTATCCACCCACTGAATTCTTTCTTTCAGATACACATCACAGTAAGCCAGGGGTCTGTAGAAAACCTGGTTCACCACGAATAAGCCAGCATACTGTTTCCCATTGTTCACTCACTCCTACAGTACTTGCAGTGGGAGCACCTAAAAAGATACAGATCTCAGCCTGTGTTTTTTTCCAGGTGTACTAATATTGGCTTTCAGCAGAGCTGTGTACAAATAGATGTATAGGGTACTGGCTGCAGTTTCAGCAGACTGCTACGCTTCTCCAGGTTTTCAGGCAGAACGACAGATCTCAGGGTAAGCAGCACTAGAAGACATGGGCTTTAAAGGCTGGGCATGCATCTCCATCCATTAACAGCTGACCCCAGAGCCCAGTGGTTCGGTATGAAGATGTTTGTGCGTTACTCTAAACAACACAAGAAACCCAAATATCTGCATCTGCCAAGTTTCTCCTGAGTTCCTTGCCCTCTATAATTTTTTCATGTACTAACACTGGACTCATGCCATTTGGAACAAGGCAGGGAGTACCACTGTAGCAACTCATAAGTTTTCTTGTTGCACATGCTCTAACATGAGCAGCAGCATAAGGAGCAGCCTAAAGAAAATTCATCCTCCTCACTCTTGCCTGACCCATATCTGTGTCATGAAATGATGCGCTGAGTTGTCACATGGAAAAAATCTGCAATAGACTCAGTTCTTTGTATGTATGTGGCCCCATTCCAGTGACACACAACAGGCTGCCCTGTGGTCTCAATTATTCATCGTGATGTCTCAAGGAATGGGATGATCCTGAATGAGCTGATGTTTAACTCTAGGAAAGACTTATACAGAAAAGATTTGTAGTGGCCTCCATCCTCAAAGGGTATGATAAAATAAAATAACTTTTTGGGTAGGTTTTATTTCTTTTTAGACTATGTAGGTGAGCAGAAGCAACACATCTGGTTCTCCAGCCCTGGTGAATTCAAACTGAACACCTTGTTGTGAAGGGAAAGACCAGAGACAAGAGGTCTTTCTGGTGGAGCCGTCTCTCCTTAAGACATCCAAAGGGTTAAGTGTGGCTACTCCATCTAAGGTAGAAATGGTGGGAAAAGAGGAGAAAGGGCGGGCTCTGGAAGAAGGGGGGTTAGGGGAAATAAATACAGCCCGAGACAATATCCCAGGGGTTGGGGAAACTGTTTGGATGCAGGCCCCTTGGACAGGGAACTGAGAACAGATTCGGGTGCCCAAGGCGGAAGCAGCGAGCCGTAGAAGAAGGGGCTTACCCCAGACTCCTTCCTATTGGGGTGAGTCTGAGACCCGGGAATGGAGGAGAAAGATTAGGGAGGAGAAAGAAGCCATCGTCAGAGAAAACGAAGCACGCCGGGCATGGCATCTAGAAGAACTGCGGAGGATGGGGTGTTGTCTGGACCTTGGGGTGACTCACAAGGAGAGCGAACCCCGTTGTGGGGATGGATGGGGGATGAAGAGACCCTCCCGCTTTTGAACCAGACCAAACCAGAGTTTGAGAATGTTGATCCAGAACAGGTAATTGCTGGACCTTGGAACGTTGGTACGGTTAACCTTTTTCAAGAGAATTTATGCTTACCCTTGCAAGAGCCGTTGCTGGAACAAGAGACTCAGACAAGAGAACATGTTAAAGTTGGAACCCCGTTGGTTGAGTTAATAAATGACACAAATCCTTTTTGTAAAACTGAGTCTGGTGATTTATTTAAGAAAAGGGAAGCCCACATACATGAACCTTCACACTTGTTTTAAAAAAGTAAGCTGAATAAGTATTTGTCTAAGTCAGGCCAAGTCTTGCTGCTACAGAATAAAGGAACACAGGCAACTAATATATTGTTGTAAATAACACCCATGAATAATTCATGGGCCATGGATAATTCTGCAAATGTTAGTGCATAGTGCTTCTGCTGTAAGTATCTAGAGGTCTGACAAAAATGATAGCTAGGATTTACATATTTGCTGATGGTAGAGCCAACACCTTTTTTCCCCAGGTCTGAACAAATTCTATCATTTGGAAACATGCCATGATGTTGTTGTAGGCATGTAATATACTACCATTCAGTATAATACAGTACAAAATGGGCAGATTAGTGGGTGTGTAGTGAAAATAATGGCTAGATAACTAAGCATCATAATTGCATAATTATGTAATATAAATATTAATTATACACCCATCATTATTGTTTATGTTCATATTCTGCATTTCTTGAGGGGAAAATGTGACTCAGATACTTAAATATCCCAGGCATTCTCTCATACCGATGAATTCATTGGCTTCCCTTCAAACAAGAACCTTTGCATACTATGACAGAAAGACAGAGTGATATGGAAGTGTTCATTATGATTAAATAAATAAATTTCTGGTGGAAGGTTTTGACTTTTCCTTATAATTAGGAGTATATAGTATGTCAACATTATGGTATTAGTGTGAACACCGAGGTGATTTTGAATGAGCAGTTTAAGTTCTGAGAACAAAGACATGTGACCTTCCTTCACAGTTATTTGTAATGCTTATATGAAAATATTTATAGCTGAGAATGCAGATATCTATCACTTGCTTAATTAATATATTTAGAGTGGTAGTTTCCTTTCTTTTGAATTTGATTTTTTTTATTTTTTATTTTTTTTTGCTTCTTACACTTTGCAGGGGACTTTTTATAGTAAACATGAGAAAATTTACCACAGACTTTCAATTTTCTTTTATAAATTGCATACAATATATTTCATTTATAAGTCATCAATTGTGTACTCATAATTCAACCTCAAATGGGAGTTTCTATAATAAACTGTTTTGTTGGCTTATTCAGTAAACTAGTAGAGGCATGTTCCAATTTTATGAGATTTATTACCTGTGTTGCTGGATGACCTTAGCATCTTGTTCTCTTTCTCCTGGTGATGAGAATTAAGAGTTATTACAGAGTGCAATGGAGACTTCTGATGCTGTTTCAGCTTTAAATAGTTTAACTAAGAGAACCAGCAAGCTTTATCTCAGTCTGCTGTGAAAAGAGAAAACAACTTCTCTGATTTAAACAGGCAATAGAGAAGAGTTAATTGATTTTTTAAAAAAGATGATCCATAAATATCTTCATTTTGTTAGAATAAGTACAGCAATATTGTATTTAAAATAACCAGTGGGGGATGACAGATGGATAGATAGGTAGGTGGGACTGGGTCTCTTGACCTCCCATTTTTTTATAAGTGTCCACTTGTAGATTACTGCTCTTGGTCTTTTCCTTACAGATCACTTGCCCATTCTTCAATAAAATAGTTTACCTCCTTTGTTCATCCTCCCCTGCAACAGATAACTGGCCATGAAATATCTCCATGATGGCTATCCGCATTCTATACCTGCAAACATATAGGCTGTCATTAGGGTCTTTTTACTGAAATATAGGTTTAATCCTACACTTATCCTGAATTGATTTTT